TTTGAATCCCTGCTGATAATGGAGGGGCTGTGAGCAGACCTTGTGTCAGATAGGTCATGGATTTGTGTTTCGGCGCTAGGCAGGGATAGTCCTTGCTAAGCCGTGACGCTGTTGCCAGAAGTCTGCTGATCACCTTCTCTCTGTTTGCCTTTGGTGCTTGCACAGGTATGAAGAAGAACAGGCACTGGTCCAAGAGGAGCTGCTCCAGCTGGCCAAAAGAGAAAGGGAAGCAGCCAGCGAGGCCTTGAACACTGCTCTTCAGCGGGAAAGGAACAACGCTAACGAAGAGAGGCAGAGAGCGGCCCAGCTGGTGAGTGACAAAAAACTCCAGCAGCACAGGCTAAAATCTCTCTGCTTGAGGGGATTCATTAAATGTCACTTGTGTGATGAGCTTAGAAACTTGGATTTAGGCTGAAGCACTCATCACCTCCCAACTCATCGCTTACGTTTGGTTTATGGTGTAGCTGGCAAACTGCACTTGCAGGATGTCATGTGGTGATGCTAAGGGCAAGCTTGCAGGGAAAGGCATAAGCAAGGACGGTGCTGGGGACAGCTTTACCTGTGGTGGGTTGCTGTGGTGTGTGTGTATGGGCTCGTTGTCTGAGCTAGAGAGGGTTCTTGTAAACTATCAAGCCTATTAAATGGATGTTTCAACTTGTCTTCCGTGAATTTGTCTGTTTGTGCTCTCTGACTCCGTGATGACGTTTGCACATGGTTGGACTGGTAGTCTGAGGTTGCTCTCCTGGATAAAGCTTCTGAATGGCTGCTGTGTCGTAGGAAATCTCCTCTTGGCAGATTGTACCCTGACCATGGGAAGTTGCACGACTGCTGCGTTTTAGAATAGTGACATCTGAGGCAGGTGACTGCTGTTCCTCTGCAGGTCTGGGTCAGCAGATGCAGTATTAACTGTCTCTCCTCTGGAAAGAGAATATTCTCTTTATGAATGCAATTAACAGACTTCTGTAAAGAGTGGGGAGAAGAAATTAGTGGATTTATTGCCCAATCTAAAGATGGGGCCTGGCTCAGAAGTAGAGCCTTGCCCTCCTGCAGTGGGTGTGGAGTAATCCTGGAGGAATGTGACTGGCAGAGTCAGGCAGTATTTGTGAAATGTAAAGAGGGCACCTCTAAAATGAATTGAGAGCTGGCCTCTAACATACAAAAGCTATTCTATTATCTGAACTAGCCTTTAATCCTGCGGTGTCACATACCCAGGTATTGCATACTTGGTGCTCTGCAAAAATCTGATCAGGCTCTCCTTGTGTAACCCATAAAAGATAGATTGTGGCCATGGAGTGGTAGCCCAGAACGCGGTGCAAGAATGAGAAACTGTTAAATTTCATTGCTCTTTAACTATCTCTCGATCAGTCATAAATTTAAGATCCTTAAATATGGAATAGTCTAGCCTGTCCTTGCAAAGATGAGGTCAAAGCTATTGCCTGTCAGCTTCTAGGTGTCTTCCTAAGAAGGAACAGATTTTGCCAGCCTTTTAAATTATTGGGATCCCTGTCAGACTTGCTTTATCTCAGCTACAGTTCCCTTTTGGGCATGGTTACCTTATTTTATTGTCTGTCGTACTCAAATCCCATCTGTCCTTTGTCTTCCAGTATCATTTTTTTCCTTTATTTGGAATATTTGAGTGTTTCTTGCTCACTCTTCTGCTTTTCAGTCCTAGCATATGAGGCAAATAACGTGTGTGAGCTGCTCTTTCATCTCTTCCGTGTCAGTCTTCTCTTTCAGGTAGAAGATAGTAGTGGGACTCTGGGTACCTAGTGGTAGTCCAGGTGCAGATAGCACTGGAAATTATGTGCTTAAATTTATAAGGGAGCAACTTTCAGGGTTTTTGTTGTGACAACTACTAGGGAAGCCAGAGAAAAATGGGGCAACTCCCATGAATGAAATAACAAATGAATGATTTGCTCCTAGCAGCACTTAATTGAGTTAAAGTTGAAAATCACGCTATGTCTAATTAGAAAGGTTTGCTTTATTTATTTAATTTTTTAAATACTTGCAGTAAGATCCTGAGCTACGCTGTGCCCTTAGCATATCATTGATAGCCTTCTCTTGTACAGTTGTCTCCAGTAGTGCTGCCATATTCTCCTTTAACCTTACTAGTTGTAGACCATAAATCCAAATATGACAGCTGTATTTTAAAATTATTTCGTTTTGCTTGTGCTGAACATTGCTTGCCATTAATCTGTTCTTTACGATTTTGATTCACTGACTTTTATTATCGGTAGTACTGCTATGAAGCACTTCTTCGGCCTTACTATATAGGGCATGTTCCTGAACAGAGTCTGGACTACAACTAACCTTTGATAAGGAACTTGCTGTCAGCTGCTGGGGCTGGTTACTTAGTCATTTTTAGGGTAGGATGCAGATTAAAACTCATTGTTTGTTTGGTTTGTTTTTTTTTTTTTTTTCCCCCCCCCCTTGAAGTGGTGCACTGGTTACAAGAGGGATTTAGAATTAAGTGCCTGGGTCCTGTTCTAAATTTTTTCTTGATTTTTTTTGTTTTTTTTTTAATGACTTTGAACAAGGTGCTTAGCTTCTAGATACCTTAGGTTTTGAGGGAAACGTTTTAGTTGAAGAAACTAACCAGCTCTGGAAGTAGAAACACTACAGCATTCACTTCCCTCTTGGAGTGAATGTGGCTTTTGATGAGCCGGGTGGGACTGGCTCAGATGGAAGTAGTCTGGTAAGCCGCTGCAGAGGAACTCTCACCAATTTGTATTGGAGATGAAATGTTTTGTTTGTACAACACCGCAGGGTGGTGGTGCTGGCTGGGCTCTCTGAATAATTTAATGCTGTGGGTACTTACAATACAACAAGGTTTATATCTGCAGCACTTCACACAGGGCTGAGGGTGTTTAACTGATGCTTGTAGCATGCTTTAAGCCTTGCATGAAATATCCAAGAATTAATACAGCTATCTTTCAATCCTTTTTTATTTCTAGCATGAGGAACTTCCAAAGTTGTCATAGTCAAGTTATTTAATTGCTTCACTGTGTTGTGAATAGTCTCACCTATCCCCTATACCAGGAATCATTCCTTTTTCATTTCCAATTAATCAAAACCTCTTCTCTCAACTTTTCACTTCTCACTTCTTTTGGCTTTCTTTTTTCCTCCTTCTTACCAACAAAAGAAACTTTGCAAGCAAAGCTGCTCTTTTTTTCTGCTTTCTGCTTTTGTAATCTCCGAAGGCTGTGCAGCAGATGCATCATGAGCCTCTTGGAGCCAGTGACTCCCCGTCTGATGGTTTTTGCCGAGACCTTTGAAACAAATCAATGTGGAATGGGAATGGAGAAAAGCAGGAGCTAGGAGGGGGGAATAAACGCGATTAAGCGAAGACATCTCATTACTACTCTAGAAAGGGAGGATTATAACTTATAAAATAGGAGAATCTCATTTAGGGGCCATGTGCGCCTGTGTTATCAGGACAGAGGGAGAGCAAATAGAATAAATGAAATTAATACTTTGAAAAGAAGCATTACCCGTATTTGAGAATTGAACTAATATGATTTGTGCAAAGCCCTGAAGTTCTTATCTCCCCATTTAATACCCCTAGGATAATGGCTTTGTCAGAGTTATTGACCAAAAGTCGTCGTCTTCCTTCCCACTTTGAAAGAATGAATTCAGAAATGGGGTGATGGTAGGACAAACTTTGCACCGTGATTAGCTTTTCCAGACAGGACTGAGAGGCATTGGTTGCTGTGTGAAAACAGACTGGACACAGAATTCCTAAATTGTTCATAAAGAGTTTCTGCAGTTGTCAGCGACGGACGGCTCGCTATTCCCAGCGTTCCTGGGCATGCCCTGCTCACTGGATGGCAGCCTTTGCTTTCTGGTGGCTTCAGCATTGCACTGTTGTGGTTAGCATGGCACAGAATATACGCATGGGAGGAACTGCTCACAAGGATTTAGAGTTTGTCTGTGGCTGCTCCAGTAGCGGATTATAATTGGTCATAGGCTGTTGGATTCTTTCAAATGATTTCTTGACCAGAAATAGACCCAGGGCAGTGGGTTTTGGTGTTGGTGTCATCTTGTGAATGTGGGATTCTGAACTCTGTGGCATGCTTTGGATGCTTGCACCCTTGGTTTAGTGTATATTGGTGTGCTGACATTTTGACTGGTATGTTTGCTTCCCCGTTTCAAAGCATGTGGAGGTAAAATGGATTAAAATTGCTGAAAGCAGCATAAACAGCCCGTTCATAGATTGATGCAGCATAGGAGAATTTTGGTGGTAGTAGGAGAGTGATCAGGGGGAGTGCTGCTTTCTTTTTGGTGCTGTAGGGGTGGAGGAATGATCCAATCGGACCATTCATGGAACGTTTTCTTTCAGTTTCTGGTCATTGATGAAGTTTCAAGCCAATCTTGCTCACATTTTTTGCTGCGAGTTGCCTGCTGTTGTCGAGCAGCGTCAGCTGTAGGCGCAGCTAAGCTGGTGTGGACGATGGTTTTAGAAACGGCGCTGAACACGGTTTAGTTTTGTTAAGGCTTTCATTTACTTTGTGAGAAGCTGGGGATCAGCTTCATCCTGGCTGATTAATCATAGGTAAGCATCTCTAGATTAGACTGGGGTTTTGTTGTGTGTAATCTCGTATCGTTGTGACGAGCTGGAGCAACCAGCTGAGGTCCAGCAGTAGCGTGGTGTTTGCAGCTGGCAGCCTGGGACCATCAGGGAAGGGACACTGCTGTTCTGAGGCCAGGCCTCTCATGTTAAACCTTCTCATTTTTGCCTCTCTGTTTGTGACAGTTTGGATACTGCTCACATTTGGCCAGATTTGTTGGTCCTGGTTGCTCTGCTGCTGAAATGTCTCGCGCTGAGCTAACAGCCGCCTCTTTCTGACGCTGCAAGCCTGCGTATGGGAGATAGGTTGGTCCTGGGAGGAGACATCGCTAACAGAAATCTGGGGGTTTGGTGTTTAATGGTTCTTTCATTTCTGTCAATGTTTCTTGATTGAAGCATTTTGTGGGTGAAACAGAAAACATTGATTTAAACCAGAAAGCATGGAGGCTTGTTTTAAACAGCAGTGCAAAATGAGGAAAAAACCCGTTCAGTTATTTTTCTTCAAGTTGGAGATGTTACAGTGATTTGCAACAAGTATCTACATGAGTTTACTGAAGGAATGACACCTTTTTTTCAGATTAATTTTTATGTTTTCTTTAGGAAATGACTGGGGAGTTGAGTTGCTAGAACATGAATCCCTCCATGTTGTGCAGGTACGGGCAGTTGGGGGGGCAGTACCTCCTGCCAAGGGCTGTTCCCCGCGGTCTGGCTGTTTGCAGAGCGTTCACATCCCTGTGGCCAGCACTCCTGTGCCCACCCTTGGTGCCTGCAAAACCTCCTGGGGAGCTGGGGCTGGGTTAGCAGGAGCGGCATTACCTTTAGCTGGGAGTTGCACTGCTGTTGTGTTCGAGTGCTTTCACTAGTTGAATAGAACTGCTTTTAAAATGTGTTGATACAAATTGAATTTTTTTTGGTTTGTTTGTTTAAGCCTTAATGATTTATTACAAAATGTTGCAAGTTACTGGCAGGCTACATAGCTTCAGACCTTGTTCTTCTATCCCTCTGATTCTTGCTGTCTGAGCTAAGAGCTACTTTGCTAGACTTTCCTTTGAAGACAATGTATTAACGTGTGGAGTCTTTTAAAGTTAGTCTGTTATTTCTATAGTCTCCGGCCAGAACATCCCTCCTTTTCCCCCACAGCTGGTTTTCTCTTTGGCTGCTACCTCCTCCTATAGAAGTGGGTGCACTTCTGCAGTAAAGGAATTGCTCATTTTTATGAAACCATTAAACATTTAAGGGATCCCCTATAGAACGTAAACTTGTAGTATTAAATGATGGACTTTGGAAAGGTTTGCATTAAATTTCAGTTTGTCATGGTGAAGATCTACATGTCTTCTACCTCCAGCAAGCTAAAAACTTCTGGTCTCTGGAGCTTCAGTGAGGTCTAAATTTAACTAAAGCAATTTTGGTTTGTATGTACTACAATGAACCCAGAAAGTAAAAACAAAGCCAAGCAAAAAGAAAACCTCCTCTTGCTCCATCTTCTCTTGAGGGAAGGCAAAGCTGTTATCTGGCCAAGGGCAAGATGCTGTGTATGTACTCCTTATTTTCCCTGCTACTGCTGCTATGATTTGTCAGACATTTATAGCTTTTTTTTTAACAACTTCCAATTTCTGCAGCTAGTCTTTTATCTCCTGACTCTGAAGGTTAATTTGTGTTTGGAGAGTTTTTGCAGATTTCAGCAGCTGATGGTCGTTTGAGCTTCTCATTTTTGTAGTCTCTTGGGCTAAGGGACCTTATCACAAGGTTGGCCTCTTCTTAAATCCTACAGCTGCGACAAATTGAAGTTGTCTGTGGTGCTGTCTACTTCCCCTGTCTTCAATTCTCTTTTGCCCATATTTCACACTCTTTTTTTTTTTTTTTTGTCTACCAAGTTCACATGCTCCACAGAAACTTCTTCCAAATTAGTTTGTTCTGACGTAGGGTTACTGTAAAGCCGTTCCAGCATTTTAAGAAGCAAAAAATAAGATTAACCTTCCTTTTCCCCTATTTATAAATACAAAATATTCATAATTCACAAAGAAATAAGGATATGTTGATATTTTTCCATGAATGGTCCAGCAAAGCTAGTACTGCATCTTTTTTATTTTTACCGCCAGACTACTGTGGAGTAGCAGAATTCTCTTCTAATTTTGCAGCTAATTTTGGCGGCATAAGCAGCAGATTTGGTAACGCACCAGGGTGCTTCAGCAGCGTTAGTCAAGTGCGGTATGGTTGTGGTATGAGATTGTCACAAGTATAAAGGCTGAGAGTGTTGTAAGCATGTAGTTCCTACTAGCTTGGTTAAACTTTATTTTTGGATTATGATTTTGCTTGTCTGTGTGTTTTCAGTATTTGCAATATTACAAACTTAGTATTTGGTGACAGCTTTTCGGTATTCATTGTATTCTATCTGGAAAATGACCGTGTTTGAATACTGAATCAATGCTCCTTGATCACTGAAAATTTTCTTGGTGTTTTTGACTGGTAAGTGTTACAAAGAGCAGGATTATGAATTTAAATGGCTAATAGAATAGCTGGGAAGTAAGTTTGCACTGAAGGGAACACTTTGCTCTCGCACTCTCATGGGGATGTCAGGTAGGTGACCTGCTGCTGGATGTAATTTCTGTCACATTCCCCAAATGCCATGAAACTAGCTGTGGTCCTTCTGCCACCTTTGCTTGGAACCTCAGCGTGTGTGGCTGATGTGATCCTGGCAGAGAGGAGGGGTGGTAGAAGAGATGCCGGAGAAGGGCAGAGTGTTCTGTGCTGGGTGGCGGTGAAAGGCATGGTGCAGGGTTCTTTCTGGGTCTCAATAAGAGTGGCTGACAAGTGGCTTAATAAAACAGCTGTTTTAATAACACAGAATAGAAAGAGCGAGTAGATCTTATGTCCCTTCCGATGCTAGACCCCTGCTTCCGTGCAGGATAGATCCTGGGTGGATTTTCCCGTGGCTGTGCAGATGGAGAGGCTCCTCCTTTGTTGAGCAAGTGTGTTGTTACAAGAATACAACTCTGTTCATAAAGGATGTTCGCATGAGAACATCTTGCTGCTCTTTTAGACAAAGTCCCGCAGGTGCCAGTACCGAGGGAGAGCTGCCTGCAGGCTCCTCTGGGAGGATGCCGAGGAGTGTGTGCGGCACAAGGCAGGGCTGAAGGCCGTGCCTGAATCCGTACGTGCAGCTCAGCGCAGGCCTGTGCTTGCTCCGGTTCACCGTTCGGCGGATCTCCACCTCTTCCTGGCTGGGATCGCTGCATTCCATCCCTTCATCCACATGCAGTTTACCTTTCTCAAAGACAGGTGACTTACAGATCATGTTAGCACGCTATTAAGCTAAGAGGAGGTTTCCTGATGGGCTGGAATGTTGTTATCTGTGTGGGAACACCCGTCAGCGCACAGCACACACCGGCGTGGGGTATTCTAGCGGGTTCCCGTACAGCAGCGGCTCATGGTGACACATGGGCTCCTCAAGCCCCACGTACCGGGCCCAGCAGAGCAGACGTGTCCTGCTCAGGATCACGTTTCCTCAAATACAATGTCTCCCACAGGTCTCCCCATACAAATAGCTTTGTTGGATCATGCTAGCAGAGGAAGCTGAGTGTACATGGTATGATGGGAGAAAGCAAATAAGCACTGATGTTACTTCTTTATTTGTTACCTTTTAAGCAAGCTGATATGAAGAGTACATTTCACTGAGGCTTTTTCCAGTTTGTTTATACCCTCTGGTACAGTTGGGCATCCTCAACCCGCTTCTGTTTGCTGACAAAGTTCATTTTCATTCTTATTTGTTTCCCTCTCCCTCCCTCCCTCTTTCTTTCTGTCTTTTTACTTCCCCAAACTGCAGGACAGTTTGCTCCTGCCACCTCTCCTCCTCGGTGGTGTTATCAGGCACGTGTGCAGCGGGTGAGATTGCAAACACCACTGTTCTCCGGGATTCTAAGCATCAGACAATGTTTTACACGGCATCCCATTCTCTAGCTGGCTGGTTGGACATGATGTTGGTACCTTATCTTCACGCTGACACACACTGGACATTAATAGAAATACATTGCTGAGGCACATGGGTGGAATTTCAAGCAGCCTTTCTAGCTGTGCTTTAGATAGTCCATTGTGTGCTTAACCTCTTGGAAGAGGTTTTGATGAGAAACGCATCGTGTTAACTCTTGAGCAGCTGGGTGGACTCTCTTGAAGTTTCTTATTACAGTCAGCGTAATATCTTCCTACTTGCATGCTGCTTATGCATTTTGGAATTTCAGCAGTTTTAAACCTATCTTGCCATGAGCAATATTCCTTCTTCGGAATGCAAATGTTTAGGGAAGAAAAAACTATACGTATTGCACATAGGGAGGAGGTAGGAAATGCATGCTTCAGAGGGAAGTGAGCTGCCAGCACCCTTGTTCAGCTTTGTCTAACGTCTCTCCCTGTATTATTTTTGGCTCCGTGCTTGCCTTACATCAACTGAAAAAATGACCTGGATGCAACTGCTGCTATTTGCCAGGAATTCCTTCTGCTTTTGGAGCACATCAGAATTTTTATTGTTTCCCTTGTACTATATATGCATACTTTCTCTGCTTGTTTTTTATGGCCATCTGCAATTATCTATATTATTTATGAGTACTGAGTGAAACATGACGGAAAGTAGCTTCTTAAAAGGGGCTGTAGAAAGGGAGAGGAAGTGAGCTGATGAGTTTCTCTTTGATTTTTAGACAATTAAAATAGAACACCTGCAAGCTTATGAGGGAGGGAAGGACTTAGACAGTTAGCTGGCATTCTCTCTCCTGCCTGCGTGTTACATTGGGGGGTTAGAGGCTTTTTAGCCTCAAAGACTTTGTGATAATGGGCTAACTTGAAGGATGATGCAGTAAGAATTGAGAGTAAAAATAGATCAAATGGACAGATAGAGCAGGGCTGTGTATAATTACTGTCCAAAAGGAGGAAGCTCCACAGTTTAATACCTGCTTAAATAGTACATTAGACTGAGGATACATTTGTTAAATAACTAGTGCTCCTCCAGTTAGGACCGAGAGCTTGCCACCTTCACTACATCTTGAGCCTAATGCTTTTGTCAGGGAAAAAGTGATTCACTGTCTAGCAGATGACTCCAAGGCCCCCCCCCCCCCTTTTTTTTTTTTTTTCTTAAACACATAGGCTCATATCTCGTCTCTGTCCTTTTCCCTTCTTTCCAGCAGAATGGATTTGTTCCTCTATCCATTTTGCTATAGCTGTCATTGGTACTGTCGAGCAGAAACTGTGACTCCCCTCCATAGTTTCAAAACTTTCGGTACACAAATGGGTCCTTACAAAAGCTGTTCTCCTCCCAGCTGAGGACCTGAGCAATCAGTCCTTTTTGTGTTTTCCTATGATATGCTCTCCTAGTTTAACAGCTAAATGTGGAAAAAGGGGGAGTGGGAATAAGAGTATGTTTAAAAAAAACCGCAAACAAAAAAACCCAAATAGCAAACAACAAACCACCACAAGACAAAACAAAGCAGCACCCGAAAAAAACAAACAAACAAAAAACCCCACCAACAACAAAACCTGATGTCAGTTGCAAATAAACTTGTAGGTTTCTTACATCTTCTTTCTTAATTTTTCAGGGTAAAGGAGTTTTGTTTCAAGTACAAAACTTGAAAGAGCATGAGAGCTTTTAACTGCAAAGGAAACTAAAATTTTAAAGATAATGCATGTCAGTCCAGCCTGTAGATTTCTATCATTTAAAAAGTTGCCCCCCAGCCAGCATGCCTTTCCCTGTTCAAGGCTTGGCATTTTGCACTGTAATTTTTCTGAGCTTTGTGCTACTGGCGGTTGTCACAGAGTTCTATTAAAAACCTACTTGCCTGTGATTTTTTGTTATACAGTGACCTGCAGAAAGAGGCGGTTCTCTGTGGTCAGGTAAGAATTTGACACTGTTCCCTTACTGGTGACAGCAGTGGGATGCGTCAACACCTCTTCCCATCTGATGGCTGTTCAGAAGCCAGCTCTTGGGTCACTCTGCCCTTGTTCAAGATCATGATGAAGGTCTAAATGCAGTCTTGAAGCTGTTGCTAGCCACTTGTGTTTTCTTTTCTTTAGTTCATCAAATTTCATGCATCTGGGGTAAAAATAAGAATTTTCATTGTACTTCATCTAGACAGAGTATCGGTTTGTGCCCAAATTAAGTGGGGACCATTAGCCGTGTTCCTGCTCCAATCATGTCATTCTGCCATAACAGGCTTATTTTCTAAGGTTAATAAGAAATGTGTTCAGGCACCTGGAGGGGAAGGAGCTCTAATGGTCTTAGCTGCCGCTCTCCTCTGCATAGATGGGACTGACGTGGGTGATAAATTCTCTGCTGCCTCAGGCCTTGCGCAGGCAGGCTGCTCCCTTAGGACAGAAAGTGGTTCAAGGGGTACCGTGGGTATTTTTCAGATGGGACTGGAGCAGCTGGACAGAAGAGGTTTCTTCCAACATAGACTCACTAACATGAGGTTTAACCCCTCTTAATTTTGGTGTTTTGCTGTCAAGTACCCAGTGGGCAGGTAACAGTCAATGACAGATTTTTCTGACTACCTGCACGTCCAAGTGCAGCCAAAATTTTGCCCTGTTGTTTGCACACATGTTTAGAAGTTACGTCTGCTTTCTGCATGAGAAATAGGTCTTACTGGGCATTCTTAAACTGCAGTAAAAATTCACATCTTCTTAAGAATGAACGATAAACTTCTATATAATGAGACTGATTTCATACAGTTGCTTGTTGGCCAGCAGATGTTGCTGTTGCGCTTGCTCAGGCATCGCTGCAGTTCAGCAAGTCATCCGCCTATTTTAAGAGCTATGATGCAGACTGATTTGGAACTAAGTTTCCTGCTTGATAATTCATGTCATTTACTGGTAAGTCAATATACTGTCCAGAGACTTAAGGTACATCTTGTGTATGCATGTGTGTAAATAAATAAATGGTATTAGGATGTCTCTTTTGACCTACACTTTTTTTTTTTCACTTCATTACCAGCTCTGAATTCTTATGAAACTTTCTGCTCTCATTAGCAAAGCAATTTTGATTTCCTTTTTTTTAAAAATTATTTTTGAGGGAGGGAGTTTGGCTTTTCAAGTGAGCCTTTCAAATGTGATGGTGCAAAGGGAGCCTAATAAACAATCCATAAGCAGCATATCCTCATTAATACTCCTTTGAATTTAGGATCTGGGAAATCTATTACCTGCCTCGTGCAGAATCTGGGAGATGAGTTGTGGATCTAATTTGGGGTCAAAACCACTGCAGCTGCTCTATGCATTGATCCTGCAGACTCTGTGCTCTGCTCCTCACTTCTCTGGGATGTGATTTGAGCTGTAGTACTCTTATTTTTGGAAATAAGGATTTTTAATATGCATCTCGGTTGCGTGCCAGGGATGATGCCTTCGCTGAGCTCATAGTTTCTTGCGGCTGTGTCGAGAGCCCTTCCAAAGCAGCAGTGAGTATTTCCTGAAGGTGGCAGTGAAGGGACGCATGGGAAGACTCCTTTCCAGGGGCGGACCGGGAACTGCTGAGCCCTCAAATTGCTTGCATACCAATGAAATATCTCAACATTTTTGCTTATTTGTTTTCGTTCTGACTCCTGCTTCTCCAGGAGTTACCATAATATTTGTCAGGATGAGTTTACCCTAAGTTTTTGGAGTTCGTTGGTTTCTATAGAAATATATCATTTGTAGTTGTGATGCCAGTATGTACTGACATAATTTACAAACTGGAGTGTGTGTTGAATCAACCTGCTTGTATCTTTCATTTTTTCACTGTGCTTCCTGGGGGTTGCTTTCATTCTTAAATGCATGGCTCTGGCAGCTGGGGAGTTGCTGTGCGCTCAGGCTGCGGAGGGGAGGAAAGGCTGTCGTGAAGACAGTGCCGGTTTCCACGCCAATGATGCGGTATGTTCTCAGCCACCTCAGATTTCCCTTTGGTTGTCAGCTCTCTGCTTGGTTCCTAGTTGTACTTCTTGGAGAGGTTGGTAAGTGCTGCTGAGAACAAGTTTGGTTTTGGAAGTGGTGGGAGGAGCATGGCAGATGCTGTCCTAATGATATCTCATGCTCCCTACCAAAACTGAGGTTTCTGTCTCCATTCCTCAGATCCTCTTCAAGATTCACTGTTTTGACTTACATCCTAGCCTTCTAATTATATGCTGTCTGCAAAACCTGGTCTGTAAAAATTCACTGTAATATCTGCGTCCCTTTGGCTGTCTGCAGTCAGGCTACAGAGACTGTCGGAGGAGCCCTGTACTGAGAAACCGCCGGAGTTTCTTTCAGCACGAGTTTGAGATCTACGTGCAGTGCTTTTGTAGAGGCAGTATCTCAGGTCAGTCCTCACTGATATTGTAAGTTTCTGACTGATTTGAGTGATTTGGAGTGTAAACATAAAGATGATCTAGCTGGCCTTGGAGGAAATGAGTTACTGCTTTGAGGGCAGAATTGCCTCTTGGCTGTTGGTTGGCTGGAGTCCCTGCAGATTTTTAGGGAGGAGATTTGTATCTTTTCATCTGTTTTCAAGAAGGGGAAACAAGAGTTATAAAAACCACTTAAAGGTTCAGTTAAGATTTATTCTGGCTGCATAACTGCCTCCCATAATAACTTTAATATGCATCATCCTGGAACTCCTGATCATCAGCCCTGGTGTTGGCAGAGCTTTCAGACCCAGCAGAATCTCCAACGTTAAGCAGCTTTTAAGAAGGAATGTAGCCAGAGAAGCACAAAGATGAAATGGCTGCCTTATAAATTCTGGCTGACCTTGAGAGTCCTTATTTTAACAAGCAGGAGGACGCTGTTGAGAGCCATCTAGACAAGAGCTGTGGTGGGAGTGTGTGTAGGTGTGCGATCGTCAAGGCAAGAGGAGAGGCTGGGGGAAGACCTCGTGGGCTTGGTGGGAGGAGGTGGCTTTGTTGTAGGCCAGGTACCTACTTACCTTGTTTCCGTTGTTGGTTGGAGTCATGTCTGTACTGATACTGATTTAAAATGTGTTTTTTTTCTGATGGCTCCTTGTGGGTGTGGGCTGTGGAAGATCTGTGGGTTGAATTAATCCGTTTCGTCAGAGTTAGTATCTTTATTTAGGAAATGGTCCTCATCAGTTATTCCTCTCTATTTAGTGGCTGACTGGTCCCTGTGTGGGTGCTCATCAGACACATCAGAGCCTGAATGACCAGGGAGGCTGACGTTTTCTGTAGCTTCTCCTCTGCTCCCCCTGTGCTGGGGTGGGGGGTGGAAGCCTCATGTCATATCATTTTTGTGAACGACAGAGGACTGTCATTCTCACTGTCCTGGGCTGTCAGTTGGGCACCTTTTGCAGACCCTAAATTCCCTTTAAAACAAAACATTTGGCTTAGTTTATTTTGTTCCATTAAATAATTTCACTGCTAATGCATAGTTATCTGCAGCAGTGACACTCGTCTATGCTTTAATTATCGCAAAGCTGTACAATTCCCCCTCCTCCCTGCCTGGAAGTTGTCACTTGTGCAGGGTGGTTTTGCAGAGATAAGTGTGTAATACACGGCAGTGCTTTGGGTCTCATGCAGTACTCAGACAGTTGCTGACTGTTAAATGTAGGCAATAGAAGAGTCAAGGATTTTGGTCTCCATCTTCTATTAGTGGCTCTTATCCACGTGAAGTGAGAGACATTGGGAAGGAAAAATCTTATCAAAACTTCATAATATGGGCTTGAAGATAAAGGTGTGAGCAAGTGCTGATTGGAGGCATTAAGCTTACAGGTGTTAAGAAAATTGGGAAGCACAAGTATTTGTTTTTCTTCTGAGGAAATGTAAGAAATGAAGCATCCGTGATCCTGGGCAGCAGCCTGGGAGCCCTGGTTGTGTTTGAGAAAGATTCGTTGTATTCTCTACTCCTCTCCTGCCCCGGCTTTGTCCCCCAGCTTTTTTTACCAACTCTGGTTTTTGGTAAACACCCTCTCTGAGTGCAGAAGAGCCTGCAAAAGTCTTTAGTCCAGCCAGTCATTATGAGGAAATACAATTGAGTTACAGGGTATTTATTCCTAAATTTGGAGACAATACATACTGGAGTGAATTACCTGCGATTTCTGAACACCACGCTCTTGGTTGTTAAGGAGTGATTTTGTTAACGGAGGACAAGGTCAGTCCTATCCAAACGGAGGGCATGCGGGCAACGTGATACTTGTGTTGTTGGAAGGTAAAGATTTGTTTGTGAATAAAATATTCTTGAAGAGATTACTAAAACCTTGCAAAATCTGAACGAGGAAAAAGCTGGAGGGGGCTCCTAATCACAGTTCTCTAGTTTCACAAAGCTGAGAGAAGTGGGTTGCAGGCACCTCATTTAACTTGCAATGATGCACTGAGGTTTGTGGATGAAGAACACCTGGAGCATGTGTCAAAAAGATAGCAAATCTGGAGAGGGACCTGATACAAATGAGGACAGTATGAGGAAGCAAAGCCTGTTTATTATCTTGTAATAGATGGAAATGAGGCCATTTATTGGAGTTATCTGCTGGCGGAGACGTTCTGCCAGCTACCTTTGTTTGGAACTCTGACCAAGACCTGCAATATGTAATTGTGTCCCAGCTTCCATCCTGACTTAATTCTTAGGATTGAAATTACTCTCTTTCACATACAAAAGCCTTGAATTCTTTTCCTGTATTGTTACAAGGAAGGCAATTTCTGGATGCTGACTGGCAGGACTGAGGAGCGGAGCACTATACCGCTTGTGTTCCAGTGCGCATCCTCAGTCCCCATCTATCTGCTGCGCTTGGCTGGCAGCAGCGGCACCTGTTTGAGCAAAACTTCTTGGGCCTAGAAGTTCACTGTATATTTTCTTTGACCCAAGGACATCATCTTAAGTGTGTCACTTGAATACCTCACAGCTTTCTGAGCTCCAAATCTTTCCATCAATCTCATGCTTATTTTCCATGGAATTTATCACCACCGTGCTTTACGTACTTTCCAGATAAGCAGACTGGCAGAATATGGTGGGCAGTTTGATGGCTTTCTTCCCCTCAGGAACGGATGTTGTATTAAGAATTGTACTTCCTACGGGAGGTTATATACTCACCCCACAATAATTTAGTCTCAGAACTTTCCTTCTGGGAACCTGAGCACCCCTGAGAAATTTCCAAATGTCTCTTCTCTAAATACTGTTGGTTGAAATACCTTTCACATTTGGCAGTGGATGCTCACATAGAAAGATTTTTAAGTGGCAGAACTAATAACCAGAATGATTGCTTGGGTTTTTGGTTTTGTTTAAAGCATGCTTGAAAGCCTTCCCATAAGAGCACAGAAGTAAATACTGTCTTAGTGGCTTTTTAAACTCATTTTATGAAAAACCACTTGCCAGGTCTGACGTTTCCCTGAGCCACGTTAGTTGCTTCTCTGGAGCTGTACTCTCACCTTTTGTAATATACTTTCCAAGTAGGTATGGGATGGAATATCACTCCTAAAAGTATTACTTCGTGCAAAGATACAAGAGAAAACGGGGAGACGAGGAGAACTCCATAATGGAGGTGATGGAGCTCATTGCCTGACATGAGTGAGATACAATGTGGAGAGAGCATTCTGTATCCATGGGGCAAGGGAGACTGGCTGGGCATCCTGCAGGAGCTGCTGGGGGAAAGGGTGGGTGGACGATCCTGATGGGGCATGTGTGGGATAAAAAAACAATAACGAAAACCACAGCAAACGCTGTGCAGCCAGGGGCTGGGGGTAGGAGGGAGAGTGGCACTTCTGGCTCTGTGTGCGCATGGGGTGCTTCTGCCTCCCGTGAGTGCGTTGGGAGGTGTGGAGAGAAAGGATCCCAGCCTGGCAAGTTAGCTGCCAGGGTGGCTGATGATTAATTGCCCTTTTAAAATTGCAATTATGTCAGTTGTAGAACCCGTGAATATTAATTCCTGATTTTCTCCTTGAAAATCTGAACGGTGATGAGACAGGTCCATTTTCCTGCAGTCTCAGAAGGGGGCCAAGTGCCGCAGCCAATAGTTAGTACTGAAAGGAAAGGCTGCTGTGACTCTTTGCAGTGTTTTGTGACTGTCTTGCCTCTTCTTTTTCAGTGTTTCTGTTGCTTTCTTCAGAATCCTCTCAGTGCTTACGGCGAATTTTCCCCGCTGACAGTAGTAGGTGGCAGGCTGACACCTGGAGTGAGTTAATCACTGCAAGCGGTATTAGTTACCCGGATTTGGTGGATGGCTTTCCACCATTCACTGCTGCTTCCTGAGTCCCTTAGAGACTTCAGAATGAAAAAGAGATTGCTTTTTTGCTGCTCCAGCT